CCCAGCACTCCGGGCGGGGGCGTCCGCAGGCTTTGTCAGCACTGACTGAAAGGTCTTCAGGGCGTTTGGGGTTAACGGTTGTCTCCCTCTACTCAACTCTGAGGGCAGGAGCTTTGTTTTCAGTGGCGCATCACAGGCCTTCAGTAAATTGAACGGGTGAATGGATGGATGAATGATGAATGAATGAATGAATGAATGAATGACGTGGTACCAGCGTGTACAGAGGTTAGAGAAAACCTGGCATTGGGCAGGCGAATCGGGCGGGGCTCACAGCAGAGGTAGAGGCTAGTAGGGCTCCAAACCGAAGGGCCCCGGGCCCCGTTAGGAAATTGGAACTTTGCCCTGAGGGTGGTAGAGAGCCATGATCTGATTTGGGGAGCGAGTGGATCATATTCGTATTTTGCGGCGATCACGCACTGAGAGCTGAGTCAGGGGTAGTCGGGCCGGGCCAGGTGTGGCCTGCACCCGGGCAGCAGCAGTGGGCGCAGAGACTCGGACAGACTGACACTTCAGTGAGGGGGGGAGGAACAGAAGGAATTGGGGATGAGTGGAACTTTGTCTTGAGCAGCTGGGTGGGCGGTGGTGTCATCCACTGCAGCTGAGGCGTGTGGGAGGGAAGCAGACTTTGGGGGCAAGATAATGAGCCCCGTTTCGGAGAGTATTGCGTTTGATGTGAATGGGAGACACCTGTAGAGACGTCCGGGGTTTGGGCTGGGTGGAGCCGTTTGGGAGAGATGAGCGGTGAGGTGGCAAATGAAGTCCCCTGAGAGAGAGGGGAGTGAGACGCCGGGGCCAGGAGTGGAGGCTGAGCGATGCTCATATTTTAGTAGTGGGCGGAGCGGGACACTGCAGAAAACGAGGTAGAACAGCCCAAAAGGAAAACCATGGAACTTTGTGTCATGGGATCTGTGTGGAAAGTGTATCAGGAGCAGGAATGGCCAAGTGTCAGGCACCACAGGAGATCAAGCAAAACCGGGAAAGAATCCTCTGGGTTTAGAAAGAAGGGGGCTGGTGACCTGGAGTGGTGGACATCCAGGGTCCAGCTGGGGTAAGCGGAGGTGGGTTGTGGGGTGGGAACGCAGGAGGGATGAGCATGTGGTGGCAGCTGGTTGCGGGCCCTCGGTCTGAGGGTGTCTGGCTTCTGTTTGTGTGATTAGTGAAGTTATTTGCTGTCTGTGAGGTGGGCGGAGGGAGTTTGAAATGCATCTTTTTTTTTTTTTTTGGTGGAGGTGGGTTGTGTGGGAACGCAGGAGGGATGAGCATGTGGTGGCAGCTGGTTGCGGGCCCTCGGTCTGAGGGTGTCTGGCTTCTGTTTGTGGTGTTAGTGAAGTTATTTGCTGTCTGTGAGGTGGGCGGAGGGAGTTTGAAATGCATCTTTTTTTTTTTTTTT